TTTTGAGACGGAGTCTCACTCTGTCACCATCTCAGTTCACTGAAACCTCCACCTCCCAGTTTCAAGCAATTCTCCTGCCTCAGCCTGGGATTACTGGGATTACAAGTAGCTGGGATTACATGTGTGTGCCGCCACAGCCAGCTAATTTTTGTATGTTTAGTGGAGCTAGGGTTTCGCCATGTTGGCCAGTCTGGTGTTGAACTACTGATCTCAAGTGATACACTGCCTTGGCCTCCCAAAGTGTTGAGATTACAGGCATGAGCCACTGCACCCAGCCACTTTAGTGTAGTTTTGGTGTCCTGTGATTTAAACCCTTTATTTCGACTCAAGTCTTCAGTGAAGTCTGTTATACATACCAATGGGACGAGGGAGACATTGTTGCTGATGATGTTCTGTGATGCAGCTAGCTATATTTGGGATGAGGGGGGTTATTTCTTTTTTTAAAAATTTATTTATTATACTTTAAGTTCTGGGATACATGTGCAGAATGTGCAGGTTTGTTACATAGGTATACATGTGCCATGGTGGTTTGCTGCATCCATCACCCTATTGTCTCCATTAGGTATTTCTCCTAATGCTATCCCTCCCAATCCCCTACCCCCTGCTACCCCTCCCCTAGCCCCCTACCAGGTGGGGGGCGGTTATTTCTTACTATTTTCAGACAGAAGAGCAGGCTTGTCCTGTAATGTGTCCTAGAGGCCAACAGGTTCATGAGCGCTTCCCCCACATTCCTTCAGGTGACTGGTTCTTCGGGGACTGTGAAGGTGGTGGTCGTGGACTCAGTCACTGCGGTGGTCTCCCCACTTCTGGGAGGTCAGCAGAGGGAAGGTGAGTGATATGGCAGAGCCTGGGATCAGTGGAATGTGACCTCGCCTCCCAGCTCTGGATTCTGGCCCCTGGCCAGCCCCATCCCTGGTTCCCTGCTGCCCTTCCTCTCTGCTTCTCCTCCTCTTGCAGGCTTGGCCTTGATGATGCAGCTGGCCCGAGAGCTGAAGACCCTGGCCCGGGACCTTGGCATGGCAGTGGTGGTGAGGAAGCAGGCTTGGCCAGTGAACTTGATTTCTAGTTATTGTTATCTCTTTATTTCCTTTCAATGTCAGCTTCCAAACCCCAAAGTGGCCCTTTAGGAAGCGGACAGATCCTAGCTTCCCTGGGTCAGCTAAAGCTCTGCACCATAAATAGCTAAAGGAATCAGTAATTGCCTTTGTTTGTTGGTTGGTTTTTTCCTACTTTTTTCTTCTTAGTCAGGTTTACTGAGGTGTAATTTACATAGAGCAACTTTCTCCTTGAAGTTTGACTAATGGAGATAGTTGTATCCAGTCTTGTGACCTCACCAAAGGGTCCCCCAGGCCCGTGCAGCCACTGATCTGTTTTCCAGCCCAATAGTTTGGCCTTTTGCAGAGCTTCATATGAATGGATCTTTTTGCTGTTGAAGTAACTTTTTCTGTTTATGAGGCAGTTTTTTAAAAGTCTGCTTGCTTCTTTCTCACAGAAAGGATAAAAAAATATATAAGATTCATATTTGCCATCAATCTCCACATCCACAGAAACCATATTAATATTTTTACATATCTCCATAAAATATTTTTTCTGCATATTTACTTATACATTTAGCCAACTTTTTTTCTTTTTTCTTTTTGTTTTTGTTTTTGTTTTTTTAGATAGACTTTCACTCTGTTCCCAGGCTGGAATGTGAGGGTGCAATCATTGCTTACTGCAGCTCGACCTCCAAGGCTCAACCAATCCACCCGCCTCAGCCTCCCAAAATGTTGATATTACAGGTGTGAGCCCAGCCTTAACCAACTTTCTAACTAAACTAACTTCATGAAAAAAAAAAAAAAATAGGCCAGGTGCAGTGGTTTATGTCTGTAATCCCAGCACTTTGGGAAGCCACGGCTGGTGGATCACGGGAGCCCAGGAGTTCGAGACCAGCCTGGGCAACATGGCAAAATTGCACCTCTATCAAAAGTACAAAATCTAGGTAGCCTTGGTGGCAGGAGGATTGCTTAAGCCTGGGATGTCAAGGCTTCAGTGAGCTGTGATCATGCCACTGCACTCCAGCCTGGGCAACAGAGCAAAACCTCATCTCAAAAACAAACAGGCCAGGCATGGTGGCCCATGCCTGTAATCCCAGCACTTTGGGAGGCCGAGGCGAGTGGATCGCGAGGTCAATAGTTCAAGACCAGCCTGACCAACATGGTGAAACCCTGTCTCTACTAAAAATACAAAAATCAGCCGATGTGGTGATGTATGCTGTAGTCCCAGCTATTCAGGAGGCTGAGGCAGGAGAATTGCTTGAACCCAGGAGGTAGAGGTTGCAGTGAGCCGAGATAGCACCACTGTACTCCAGCCTGGGCAACAGAGCAAGACTCTGTCACACACACACAACAACAACAGCACAAAAAATAATATACCATCTGAGTCAATTTCTTGTTGTGTTTTAAAATAGATTCTTTACAAATGTAATTTTTAGCAGCTATATATTTTTTCTAATTTCTTTTATGTGGTAAAATAGATAAAACATAAAATTTACTATCTTAACCATTTTAAGGTATGCAGTTCGGTAGCATTAAATGTATTCCTAATGTTGTACGATCATCACCACCATCCATCTCCATAACTCTTCACCTTGCAAAACTGAAACTCTGTACCCATTAAAAATAACCCATTTCCCCCTCCCCCAGCCCCTGACAACTACCATTCTACTTTCTGCATCTATGCTTTTTGACTACTCTAGGAACCTCATATAGATGGAATCATATGGTATTTACCTTTTTGTGACTGGAGTATTTCACTTAGCATGATGTCCTGAAGGTTCATCCACCTTGTAGCATGTGTCAGAATTTCCTTCCATTTAAAGTCTGAGTGGCCGGGCATGATGGCTCATGCCTGCAATCCCAGCACTTTGGGAGGCTGAGGCTGGCAGATTGCCTGAGCTCAAGAGTTTGAGACCAGCCTGGACAACAGGGTGACACCCTGTCTCTACAAAAAATATGAAACATTAGCCAGGCATGGTGGTACACCCCTGTAGTTCCAGCTACTTGGGAGGGCTGAAGTGGGAGGATCGCTTGAGCCCAGGAGGCGGAGGCTGCAGTGAGCCACTGTACTCCAGGCTGGATAACAAAATGAGACCCTGTCTCAAAAAAAAAAAAAAAAAGTGTGGTGGACATGGTCTCTGGATGCCCATTTGTTGGGTTGGTGGTACAGTAGATCTAAGCCCATCACTGGCTTTCCTGGAAAGTACAGTTAGCACTGCTTTTTCTCAGACATGTGCCCCATCACCTTCTGATTCAAGTCAAGCCTGAGGCATCAAAGTTTAGTGGGAAGATCTGGACACAAGTCAGGAGGCCCAGGTTCTAGTTCTAGACTTGCCATTAGGTTTTGTAACCGTGGGGAAGTTATTTCTCTGTGGTATGCCTCCGTTTTCCTGTCTGTAAAATGAAGCAGTAGTAACAGATGTCCTCGATACTAGCATTATGGACCTGTAAGTGTTTTTGCTGCAGGTGACCAACCACATAACTCGAGACAGGGACAGCGGCAGGCTCAAACCTGCCCTGGGACGCTCCTGGAGCTTTGTGCCCAGCACTCGGATTCTCCTGGACACCATCGATGGAGCAGGAGCATCAGGCGGCCGGCGCATGGCATGTCTGACCAAATCTCCCCGACAGGTGAGCCAGCCCCAGGAGGATGCCAATAATCTTGGGCCCTGGAGGGTGGTTTCCATACTCACAGATGTATTCGAGAAGAACTCTTTATTTGCTTGTTTTTTTGAGATGGAGTTTCGCTCTTGTTGCCCAGGCTGGAGTATAATGGTGCAATCTTGGCTCACTGCAACCTCTGCCTTCCAGGTTCAAGCAGTTCTCTTGCCTCAGCCTCCTGAGTAGATGGGATTACAGGCATGTGCCACCACACCCAGCCAATTTTGTATTTTTAGTAGAGATGGAGTTTCCCCATGTTGGCCTGGCTGGTCTCAAACTCCTGATCCAGGTAATCCACCTATCTCGGCCTCCCAAAGTGCTGGGATTACAGGCGTGAGCCACTGCACTCGGCCTTTTTTTTTTCTTTTTTGAGACAGAGTCTTGCTTTGTCACCCAGTCTAGAGTGCAAGTGGTGCAATCTTGGCTCACTGCAACCACCACCTCCTGGGTTCAAGTGATTCTCCTGCCTCAACCTCCCAAGTAGCTGGGATTACAGGCGTGCATCACCACACCCAGCTAATTTTTGTATTTTTAGTAGAGACAGGGTTTCACCATATTAGCCAGGCTAGTCTTGAACTCCTGACCTAGTGATCCACTCACCTCTGCCTCCCAAAATGTTGGGATTACAGGCGTGAGACACTACACCTGGGTGAGAACTCTTTTTTTTTTTTTTTTTTTTTTTTTTTTTTGGGGTGTTTTTTTTTTTTTTTTTTTTTTTTTTTTTTTTGAGACGGAGTTTCTCTCTTGTTACCCAGGCTGGAGTGCAATGGCGCGATCTCGGCTCACCGCAACCTCCGCCTCCTGGGTTCAGGCAATTCTCCTGCCTCAGCCTCCCGAGTAGCTGGGATTACAGGCACGTGCCACCATGCCCAGCTAATTTTTTGTAGTTTTTTAGTAGAGACGGGGTTTCACCATGTTGACCAGGATGGTCTCGATCTTTTGACCTCGTGATCCACCCGCCTCGGCCTCCCAAAGTGCTGGGATTACAGGCTTGAGCCACCGCGCCCGGCTGGTGAGAACTCTTTAGAGGCTGAAACCTTGCAACTAAAGAAGCTACCCACTTGGGTTGCTTAACTCCACTTATTCCTTCCTATTCCTTCTTCCAGCCCACAGGTTTCCAGGAGATGGTAGACATTGGGACCTGGGGGACCTCAGAGCAGAGCACCACGTTACAGGTCGATCAGACGTGACCTGTGTAGTATTTGGAAAACCTCCTAACTTTCCTTCCCAGTAATGCCTGCTGTTTACTGCCACCTGGTACTGATGACTATAGAAGTTCTCAGGCTGGCCAGAAGAGACATCTTGGTTTCCTCATCCTCACTCTCTGTAAGCATATAAAACACAGGCGAGAGAGGATGCTGCACTTCGAGGACCCAGAAATTCATGCTGGTACCACATTTCCTTCCCTCATTTCGAATGTGTATGTTTCCAGTGGAAACCAAGTTCACCCTGGCTGGGAGCATCTCTGAAGAGGTATGCTGGCCACTGGATAAATAACCTGTCTATCACCATGTGTCCTGTGCTCCATCCTAGCACAGTGGCCAAGCTGGGAAAGCCTCTAACTTGCCTTTGCTGTTGCTGCTTAAATGTCAGCTTCCAAACCCCAAAGTGGCCCTTTAGGAAGGGGACATATCCCCACTGCTGTCCCTCGGCTTTCCATTTGTTAAATGGAGGCCACTCTCCCTTAGCTCTGTCTCTGAGTTGCTGGGTGGAAATAAGCTTATAAATTAAATACTCTTCTTCATCTCTGTTTTGCTCTTAAAAATATAAAAAGGCAATTCCCCGAGCCCTAGAGCCACCTGATTTTCCCCCAGAAGGTTGTTTTTCAGTTTCCCCCAGTGAGGCCCAAAGAACAGTTATTCCTCCTTTTCTCTTGCTGATTTGGTTTCAGACCTGCATGCATTACCATGATTAGGTGAAAACATGTGGGCTCGCTGCAGTCCCAGGGATATAATTTAACAGGAAGGGAGGCTCTGACCTGCTCCTGGTGAATCTAGCCACTCGTTTAATATGCATGGTGCCCTGTGGGGCCCCTCCACAGTACAGCGTAACTAGAGGTGCTGAACCATGGCCTTGCCCATAAACAGACCGGAGAATCTGCACAGTAAATAGAGCCAGCTGGGAAAATTGATGCTGACGTAAATAATACATGGCAAATCTAGTCCTTTATGCAGAAATTCATTGCTGGTGGCTCCAAGATGCAATATAATTACACGTCTCTTCCTGCCAGCTGTACCATGGTCTAGTGCCCTAGTGTATGGAATAATTCCCCCGTCTTTTACCAGCACTGTGGCCATTGTCTGAGAGCCATGACCCTGGCTGGGAGGGGAGGAGGACACCAGGAAATGGAAAATAAAAGGAAAAGTAGAGAAATCAGGATTGTTTACTGCCTACATCTTTTTTTTTTTTTTTT